ATTTAAATCACTCTTACATACCTTTATTGAAGACTCTTGTTGGCATATGGAAGAATGTGAGGAGGGGAGAGGGAGGAGAGGTTATTGTTTGGAAGGGGAATCCCCCTCCATAAGGACTTCAGGTATCAAAGCCCTATCTGGGGTTACTTCCATTCTTTGTCTTTTACTGGTACTAAGACCAACTTGAAAGTCACTGCGCCCCTGTCGCACAAAAAATCTGTCCAGAGAGGCCTGTTTCTGGCATTTCTTTAAGATTTTCCTAAAATGGGTCAAGACATTGTCATTGAATGTGTTGCAGATACTTACTTGCCAGTCATGCTTACGCATTATATCTACAAGCTTAGTATAGAACTTTGTCTGGATTTTTTTAGTTATCCTAGGTAATTTACACTATGTATAATTGTATTTATGTGTACCTGTGAGACAGAGATAGACATAGATACAGACAGACAGATGGAGATAGAGCCAATCAGGCAGCCACCCAGCCAGTCAGCCAACCAGCCAACCAGCCAGCCAGCTTGCTGAACAAATATTACACGTTCCAGAATTGTTTCTCTTTACTTAGGGCATAGGTTATAAGACATTCTGAGAGGGTGTTGCACAAATGTTGCACATGGGTTATTATCAAGGTTTTTTTATATTTCCTCGAACACTTATGGCCACATCCACCTCAAAGCCACTAAACTTAGGGTCAGCATCACTTTCCTCTTAAAATGGGAGTGTTAATACTACATGACTTCAGTGAATCCCAGGTGTTTGCTGCGTTGTTTGCTCTTGCTGGCGCTCAGTTGAACTGGTGTTCCCACAAGGCACTAAGTGGTCCCAGATTTTTTTAATATTTCTCAAACTGAGTGTTAACCCTTTCAGGGTCCAAGGCCAAAATCTGAAGTGGTACCCCAGTGTCCAAGAATTTTCCAAAAAAAAAATTTGTTATTTTTTCTTATGAAATGGTAGAGAATCTTTTTGTGAAGGTAATAAAACAAAAAGTACGAAATTTTATGGAAAATTGACGAAATTATGCTCTCACGAATTTTGATGTGTCAGCGATATTTACGAATCGGCGATTTTGCCGACTTTGACTTCCCTTTTAGGCCAATTACATCATTCCAGTCGACCAAATTCTTAGCTATTTTACTAGTATTACTTCTATTCTATCGATTGAGCACAAGAAATCGCCAAGTCAACTGTTTCAACTACAAAATAAAGTGATCGGAAATTGGTAATTTGGCCAATTTAACACAAAGTTCAAAATATTCCAATTTCAAAATAGCATCCAGAATAAACAATGTAGGCATTCCTGGCACTAAACTAACATTTCCTCGGTTCATTAGTTACGTTTTGAGGCTTTACAAATAAATCCCATTTTGATTTTTTATTCACATAATGAATTTTTATTCACTCCAAAAAATAGAAGATTTACTGTTATGCAATATTGTAATAATTGTATAAATATCATCACCACATTTGTGAATGTATATTAGACCCACCAGCTGGCGTGTATTAGACGTGTGAGGTCGTTTGTTTACTCTTGAACATCGGCAAAAATTTAACATTTCCGCTACTTTGAGCTCAGTTTCAAGCCATTTCCAGTGCTAAAACCAATCAAAATCATCTCTATTTCTGTAATATGTCTCCCATTCTATCAAATGAGACCAAGAAATTGCAAATACAACTATAAAAAACATACGAAAAAACACTGCAAAGTTGCTGTTTTAATCGAAAATCTTGGTTTCAGTTTTTTTTCTCTCATTATACACAGTGTGCTGCAGGATTTGTTTTATGTGGTGCACACATACCACATAGATGTATTCTCTCATATCTAGGCGCAAGTGTACCACTCACAGTTTATCAGAGTGAGCTGAGCTCATGACGTAGATCTACGGTTTGGACCCTGAACGCAAAGCCGTAGATCTACGGGACGGACCCTGAAAGGGTTAACACCCATTCAGTGCTGACCAGGCATCTCAGGCCAGTCGTGCCAAATTTGGAGGCAGGAAAAATAAAACATTGCCCTTCGTTTGGGGCACTAGCCGTACTAATGCATATATACGTTTGGACTGTTTACAGGTTAATCTGTTGGCAGCCTCCAAATTAAAAGCTCCTGTGTTGGAATTAAAAAAAAAATGAAAAAAATTTTGTCTTCTAAAATGGTAGAGAATCTTTTTCTGAAGACATTGAAACCAAAAATGAAAAGTTTCATGTAATACTTACGGAGTTACACAGGTACAAATTTGGAAATTGTTATCGCTTCATACAACAGCAATATCGCTCACTTTGAGGCCTATTTTAGGCCAGTTCCTGGCTATTTTACTAATATGCCTTCTATCCATTGATCCCAAGAAATTCCCATTCAACCATTAGAACTGCCCTATTAAGCACCTGGATGTCAGTTATTTATGCAGTTTTACAAAATTTTCAACAAATGCCTTAAACATTATAGACATTCCAGCAACTTTCCCTCTGTTCATTAACCCTTTCAGGGTCTGTCCCGTAGATCTACGGCTTTACGTTCAGGGTCCAAACAGTAGATCTACGTCATGAGCTCAGTCACTCTGATAAACTGTGAGTGGTAAATTTGGGCCTAGATATGAGAGAATACATCTATGTGGTATGTGTGCACCACATAAAACAAATCCTGTAGCACATTGTGTATAATGAGAGAAAAAAACTGAGACCGTGATTTTCGATTAAAACAGTGACTTTGCAGTGTTTTTTCGTATGTTTTTTATAGTTGTGTTTGCGATTTCTTGGTCTCATTTGATAGAATGGAAGACATATTACAGAAATAGAGATGATTTTGATTGGTTTTAGCACTGGAAATGACTTGAAACTGAGCTCAAATTAGCAGAAATGTTAAATTTTTGCCAATGTTCAAGAGTAAACGAACGACCTCACACGTTTAATACACGCCAGCTGGTGGGTCTAATATACATTCACAAATGTGGTGATGATATTTATACAATTATTACAATATTGCATAACAGTAAATCTATTTTGTGTGAATAAAAATTCATTATGTGAATAAAAAATCAAAATGGAATTTATTTGTAAAGCCTCAAAACGTAACTAATGAACAGAGGAAATGTTAGTTTAGTGCCAGGAATACCTACATAGTTTATTCTGGACCCTATTTTGAAATTGGAATATTTTGAACTTTGTGTTAAATTGGCCAAATTACCAATTTCCGATCGCTTTATTTTGTAGTTGAAACAGTTGACTTGGCAATTTATTGTGCTCAATCGATAGAATAGAAGTAATACTAGTGAAATAGCTAAGAATTTGGTCGACTGGAATTAAGTAATTGGCCTAAAATGGGAGTCAAAGTCGGCAAAATCGCCGATTCGTAAATATCGCTGACACATCAAAATTCGTGAGAGCATAATTTCGTCAATTTTCCATAAAATTTCGTACTTTTTGTTTTATTACCTTCACAAAAAGATTCTCTACCATTTCATAAGAAAAAATAACAAATTTTTTTTTTTTTTGAAAATTCTTGGACACTGGGGCACCACTTCAGATTTTGGCCTTGGACCCTGAAAGGGTTAATCATGTCCCCAGGCCTCTCCTATAAAACTGCCCACCATTTTGAATCCATCTTCAGAAAAAAAACAACATTTTTCCCTATTAGCTAATAAACCATAACCAAGAATGCTTGGTCATGGTTGAGTCCATCCCAGAAATTGAAGCAGACTTATCAAAAACTCATAAAACCAACCAGGGGATTAAGGAAAGTCTCTGCCCTTTCCTAGGAAAATCACAGTCTGCTTTTTGCACCAGTTTGATGCTTATTTCAGGCCACTTCTGATCTTAAACCAGTCAAAATTTTAATTTCACTCATACGGTATGTCTTCCAGTCTCTCTCAAATATATATGAACTTCTTTCTAAAAAAAACTAATATCTCGCCAAGTCACACAGAAATGTGTCTAACCTATGTGCCAAAGAATAATTCGTAATACCTACGTGCCAAAGAATAATTTGTAATACCATGACAGGAATGATTTGCAACTAATCCACAAATTGGGAATAAAACTAGACAGTGTATCAATTCATTTTCGACCATTATTAAGTACTGTACCTTCTTGATTTGCTAATGATTCCTGACAGAACAAAACATTGTCCAGTTTCATCTCCATCTTTTATACTTATTCACTTGGAGGATAGGAGGATAATTTATTCTTTATCCATCTCAATATATGCTTAATATTGAAACTGCTATGTTTTCTTATGTGTGGGGTGGGAAAGGTTGCAGGTAAATAAAGCTAAAGATACTAGCAGCAGTGTGTATATTTGGTGTTTAAGTTTGAAACACCACAAAAAAAAAATTAACAAATATTTTCATAAAATTGTCAAACAGTTGCAATGTGTGTGATATCTAAATATAACTGTTTTTCCAAAAAAGTTATTAAAATTATTTCACGGAAATTTATGTACATGTACTAAAAAATCAGTCAATGTGAAAGTAAGTGCAGTATTAGTGTGTGATTTCAGGAACCCAGCCCACTGACCCACCACATTAAATAAGACTCTTGAATGTGTTATGTGTGTGTTTATTAATTCATTATATATATGCATTGCATGTATGTATGTGTACGGTAGGAAACAGCCGACGTGTTTAAAAAAAGGTATTTATTTATTCAGGGTCATTTGAATTATGTCAGCACACTTCTGGCAAGTCAGCAATTGAATGAATAGTGGATTTTTTTTTCCTACCATGGTGGAAGATGGATGTTTAGGTAAAAATTTATTTACTTAATTTAGTTATTTATTTATATATCTAATCTATCCCCTACCAAGGTGAGGCAACCCAAAGGGGAAAAGCACATTCACCATCACTGTTCTTTTGGGTGTCTTTCCAGAAGAGCAGACATCACAATTTTAAGAACTCTTCATGTATAATTAATTTAGATTTAATCAGCATACAGCTTTTGTATTTTTCATTGATCACATGTATTCACCAGTTTTCTCTTTGTGCATGCTTTCTTCTGGGACTCTTCAGCAGTAAGTATTTCTATTCCCCATTTATGCTAACACCCTCCCCTAACCTCGACACTGATGTGCTCCTCCCACCTCCCAACTTTACACTTCATCAAGGGCATACTCGTTCACGGAGTGCATTACTTGCCAGTCGTCAACACCCAATAAGGAAGAGCAGCATTTTCAGTGATATGGATGATACATCCCCAGGGGACTCAGTGGATGACCCCCCACTTGTTCCAACTCACTCAGTACCAGTAAAGAGCTACCCTGGAGTAGCTATACCTGTGCTGCAGAGGCCACACAAGGAGGTAGGTCCTGAGGCCATAGAGAGAAGCATAGCCAAGGCAGAGGCTATTGATAGTAGGCCATCGGACCCTTTTGAGAAGCCAAGACTGACCCCTAGTAAATTTTTTAGTGAATGTTTCCCTTCTCAAGAAAAAAGTAAAATTCCCGAATTGCACCACATGAATTCTTCCCATAGTTTAGATGAACTAGAACTGTCAACTTTGACTGTTGACTATTTGCAAGATAAATTGCCTGTGGCATCAGCCCCTCAATCAAGAGGGCCCTCACCATCTGGATGTAAGCCAGCACTCATTAAATCTTTCTCAACTTCACCTAGGGATGGTCCAGCTAAAAGTGATCCCATACCCATACCGAAGAAAGCATTCACTACTCATAGCCGGTCTAAGTCCAGTGGAGCTTTAAAACCAGAGAAAACCTTTGAGTTGGCTCAGTCTGCAAGGGATGACATTTCTCTGTTACAAAGAGATCCTAGCTTAATGTCTCATGGAAGCTCAAATATATATGAACTTCTTTCTAAAAAAACTCATATCTCGCCAAGTCACACAGAAATGTGTCTAACCTATGTGCCAAAGAAACCTGAACTACCATCTTCATGGGAAAGGGAAAGATCTCGAAGCCACAGGCATGGTGAACATTTGTTTACGTCTAGATCCTTAGAACGACCCTCAACTCCTAAGCATAATAAGCACCTTTCATCAATTCACAAAGTATCCTCACTACCCCTTCAGCAGTCCCGAGACAGATCTCCAAGTCCTGTTCGTAGCCAAAATCACTGGAGACTAGAACGTCAGTATGCACAGTTTGCTCGAGATAATACATGTGATTTGAAAGATGTTGAATTAGGACATCTCCGTAGAACATTAACCCATGAAGAGGAAATCAATCTCATTTTATCAGGCGATTCTAAATACCTTACAAAAATGAAATCCCCAGAAAGTTTTACACCCCCAGAAATTTCAGAAGTTGATGGCTTATTATTAAATGATAACGAGTATGAAATGAAATTTTGACTTTCAGGTTTGATTATCTTTGCTTGCCTTTTAGTGATCACTCTCTATGTTTTAGGATACTATTTCTGGGTCACCCAACTCTTAGCTTCTGTTGAGCATGTTAGTGTTGTACAAGATTTAAAAACAAGTTGAAAATGAAAGTTTTAGGTGTTAGTAAAATCGTTATTAATTGCTTATTATTTAAGCATCACTGATGCTATGAACTAATATTTCAGGTTCTTGGTTATTTCAAAACAGGTTTGTATGCATATGTAACTAAGCTTATGTGATTAGTTGTTTTTAACTGTGAAAGAATGGCACTTACCTTATAATTATCAATATTTGTTGAATAAACAGTACAGTATTTAAAAACTTGCGGTTAGGTAGGTCATGTACAATGAAACTAATTGTAATATAGAGAAGCAATGCATTGCCCTGGTGATTCACTTTCAGGAGAGGACTTAGGATTGTCACATTTCTTTCAGAATCGAGCTTTTTTTTTAACTCACATTCGTTATAAAGTTTTAATGTCCTTTATTTAATGCCACTGGTACTTTTTAATGAGTTGTGCATTACATTTTAAGTGGAATTAATGAGCTTCACAGAGTTGGTTATTTTGACCCAGTTTTCTAAACTGCTGTAACTTTTAAAATACTTTCCAGCTTCAAAGGTGTGAAGTGTTCACATGTTGGTAGGAAATGGTTGTGGTTTGGCACAATTGATTGCTTGCCTTTACTTTTCTGCCTGTTAAAGTTTTTAATTTTTATTATGCTTTTTGCTCATTTATTCAGTGGATAATTTCTTGTCATTTTTTTATTTGAACCTTATTAATGTAATGTGCGTCTTCCATGCAAGTATAAGAATAGATGACATGCACACATGAGCACATACACCCAAACAATGTACACACCTCATTATCTAGCATAAGATTATTCTGGATTTATTAGTGCTTAAAGGCAAATCATAATATTTAGTTTTTCCTTTACTGATGTTCTAATTTTTTCATATTTTCCTAATGAAATTACTCTTGTAATAATTTTCTAGCTAGATATCCATTGTGATAAACATAATTTGTAGGTGGTCTAAGTCCTGTGCCAAAATGGAAGTTTAAAATTTTTCGTAAGTGTGGTTGTCTTGAATCTTAATTCATGCTGTGTATCGTTGTTTATTCTTGAGCCCATCGCTATCTAAAAGATGTTTTTTAACATACTTAATAAAAGATTTATCCACCCCAAAAAACAGTTGTCCATGAAAACTCAAGAGTAGCTTAGTCTTTGGTTAACAGATGAGGTATTTTTTCTTCTTGTGTATTCAGCCCTCATGACAGTGTATCAACCATCAATGTTATCAGTTGAGAATACCATAGTAATTTTTTTGCTATTATTTCTTGCTAAGGTTTTCACATACCACTTCCTTTTTTCATATGCCAGTCTTCATTTATACCCTTAGGGCATTTTACAATCCCATTTTTAACAGTATTCACATTCTTGCCTTTACTCAGGTAATCAGTACCATATCTGTTGTTTTCATGACAGTTTACATAAGAATGTCTTCCAATTTGCAGTCACCAGTCAGTAGTAAATGACTAGCTGTTATTTTTGAGTTTCTTCACTCCCCTACTCCACTTATTTGTCAGTCATAACCAGCAGTCTCTTAACCAATTATTTTTTGCATCTCGGCTGCCATGTAGTAAATGGTCTTCCAATTCTTGTTTTTTATGTCTATGATGATAGATATTTCTCTCTATATCATTCTTGAGTCTGCTGTAACAGTTTTCCATGATTTAATCTCCAGTATACAAGACTCAGTCTTCCATGTTTCAGTCTTTTGTCTCCAATACTTAGTTCTCTGTAACAACTGGACTTCATCTACCAGACTTTCAGTATTACTATTTACAACTGTAGTTGATGGTTGGTGCAGAAGCATTGTAACTTGTGCAGAAAGTTTCCATAATATTTTTAAGGAATAATTTTTATGCCAAATTGCATCAATATTATTAATTATGAGGTGAGGGCTTTTAAGTAAGGTGAATCCTTACAAATTACCCTAAAGGTCTCTTCTTGTGAGTGAATTTGACATTATGTACTTGCATTGCTATATCATTCTTATTGTTACAGTTTGCATCTTGTTGAAAGATTACTGATTAAATTATGGTATTGTTGCAGTATGCTTCTATTTCTTCACAATTGACATTTTACACATTGTTTCAGAAACTTACGAAAAATATTTAGTTATATGAATGATGACAGTAGACTGAATACCTTTTTATATCTTTTACAATTGAAAAGGTAAGTCCTTTATCTGTTTTTTAAGGAATTGCTTTGTCTTCCGCCTCAGCTGCACAAATAAACCATCTTGCATTAATGGCTTACAGAAACTTAGTGGAATGTTTTAATATTCACATAAGACAAAAGAAAAGGTATACCATAATTGATTGTTTTCCTAGTTAAGTATTTGTGGTGCATTTCCGAACCACGTATGAAAATCAGTTTGTACACTTGAACACTGATCTGTATTCAGAACCAGAGCAATAGAAATGGGAAAGATTATAAATAATGCTCTTCATGTTTATAGAGCTTGTTATAATATGAAGAAAAATATTAAGCTGTTTATTAATATTGTTAGTAAATATTTGTGTTTGGGCGATTTTATTATATATATATATATATATATATATATATATATATATATATATATATATATATACACACCACACACACACACACACACACACACACACACACACACACACACACACACACACAACACACACACACACTACCACACACACACACACACACCACACACACACACACACACACACACACACACACACACACACACACACACACACACACACACACACACACACACACCACACATCACACACACACACACACACACACACACATCACACACACACACAAACACAACACACACACTACACAACACACACACACACACACACAAACACACAAACACAACACACACACACACACACACACACACACACACACACACACACACACACACACACACACCACACACACACACACACACACACACACACACACACACACACACACACACACACACACACACACACACACACACACACACACACACACACACACACACACACACACACACACACACACACACAATTACACACCTAACACACCAAAACACCATCACACCGAGTTGATCCCTAAGGTTAACGATATTGTCTTTCATACCCAAGATTTCAGGTGCACGTACTGACGAATTTGTTCCCATAAGGAAATTGTGAAGTAGATTAGTCCATTCAGACGCCCCAACATACGTAACACGCCACTTACATAAACATTATATAATTGGTCATTGGAAGTATACTTAAAGGGGGGTCACTGTATATATATATATATAATATATATATATATATATATATATATATATATATATATATATATATGTATGTATATACACACACACACACACACACACACACACATACATACATACATACATACATACATACAGTGGTCCCTCAATAATCGTCCGGCCTGAAAGTCGTTCATTTCGGAAATAGTCCCATTATTTTGTCTAAGCATTGGCTTGCAAATGGTCTGTTAACTCGCTAATCGTCCTGCATCTGGGACGCGTACTCATGCTCTGAGCCGCCGGGGCCTGCCTTCCCAGCCAGTGTGCCATTGTTTACCAGTGAGTGACGGTCCCCTAACTTGCTCCTACGAAATATTTCATAATATTCCATTGATTTTAGTGCTTGCAAGTGCTAAATAAGCTACCATGGCTCCAAAGAAAGCTTCTAGTGCCAGCCCTTTGGTAAAGAATGTGAGAAACACGTATAATTTATGAAAAAGTTTGAAGAAATATGCAAAGGCGGTGGTGGTAGAGTGGAAGCAGTTGTGATAGTGGTTGATGGTGGTAGAGGATGGTAGTGATGGTGGTAGAAGGTAGTAGTGATGGTGGTAACAGTTGTAATAGTGGTAGAAGGCAGTAGTGATGGTGGTAGA